CCCCCTCTCCTCTGTCCGCCCCCTCCGCCCATTCCCTCCCGCCGCGCGCCCCCTTTCCCCGACAATATCGCCAACACATGGAAAGTCACCCCCCGGAGGGCAGCTTATGCTCGGCTAGCAGTGCCAGCCTCAGGCTGGTCGAGGTGCCGGCCGTCGACCGGTCGCCGGCCCCGCCGCCGGGCGCCACGCCGGCCAGCGAGTCTGACGATGAGGCCCCCACGACACCTGACACCCACGAGGAGGCGGTTGATGCGCCTCTCCAGCCAGCCGGCCCCATGCCCGGCGGCCTCTCGGTTCTGTCACTCCCCGGGGCCGAGGAGGACCGCCGCTCGCTGCTGGGGGACCCACTGGTGGCGGCCACGGCCGCCAGCCATCGGGCCACCTTTCTCAGCGGGTCGCCACGGACCGTGGCCACCGGGCAGGGCATCCCCCAGATGCAATCCCTGCTCGAGGCCGAGGCGGCCAGTAGCCCGCTGGACGCGGCTGAAGGCCATGCTCGGGCCTCCTTCGAGTCGACCCTCCCCCGACACCCTTCGGAGAGCGTCTGGCTGGGGGTGGTCTCGGCGTCGCGCCTGCACCGACAGCCCGAACCGGACCCCAGTGGCAACCTCACCCCGCCGGACAGCCCGAGCGCTGATACCCTGCAATTGAACGCCCAGGACGATCCGCTCGGCGTGAACCTCGGCTTCGGCAACATGGCCAACGACTTCAGCCTGGCCGAGGACGACTTTGCCATGCCGGCCCGGCGATCGGAGGCGTCGGCCCTGACCGCTGCTGGCCGCCCGTCCCAGGCCTCTCAATATACCGCGGCGTCGATATACGCGCGGTCGATGGCCACCGCGGCTGGCGCCGATCCCGACTCGGAGTCCGATCCCGGGAGCCAGGCCGCCCCCTTGGCTTCGTGCCCCCGCTGGCCTCCGGTCCAGCGGCTCATCTCCGTGCGTGCTGCCATCCCCCTCCCCCGCCGGCTCCCTTACCGGGTGGCCATCCCGCATCATGCCGTCCTCAGCCTGACCCTCCCTTTTCGGCCCTCTCCTCCCATCCTTCTCCCCCTCTCTTTCTCTCCGCACCGGGGTCGCGGATTCCATAGCAATGGTCCTGGTTCTTCTCCTGGAACCGGCTCTTCCGTGCCAGCAAGGAGACCTTCGCATACATGGGCGTGTCCCTGTTCTGTCTGATCGATCCGATCAGCGACTTCATGGGCACCTACTCCTACCTGGCCCCGATCATGACCCTTTTCACCCTGTCCAGCGATTCCTTCGGTCGGAACCTGCGGTTCTTCTTCTTGGCCAACCTTGGCAATGCCGTCGGCTATTCGTTCGGCGCGATTGCCCTGTGCGTGTTCCCCCCCCCCCCCCACACGCACACGCAGACATGCACACATACAGTCCCATGCTCGCTCTTTCACAGGCACCCTTCTGACCCTTTGGCTCACCGCTCGCATCCCCTCGCGGCTCCCTCCTGAGGAAGATTGACCAACCACCCGGCGCCCAAGATCGTTCTCCTCTTTCTGGGGCTCTTCTCCTTCACCCTCTTCAAGACCATCCGCCCGGAGCTTTGGGCCATCGGCCATGTGATGAGCATCAACATGCTGGTGATCGTGTCGCAGCGAGGCCCCACGTCGGCGGCCCTCAAGAATGCCTTCGATCTGTTCAAGCCCAACATCTTTGTCCTGATCTTCATCCTGCTGCTGTCGTTCCTGCTCTTCCCCCGATGGGGGAGCCGCGACTCCGAAACCGACATCGCTGAGGTTCTCCGCTGCGTGGACCAAAGCCTCCAGCTGTCGGTCATTGACTTCATCGCCGCCACGGAGAATGCCTCCGGCGACGCGGTTCCCAATGGCTCACCTCCTGGCGGGCCCCTCGCCTTCGATGCCTGTCCGCACTGTCGCCTCCCGGCATCCATCTGCTCCCTGTCCCCCTGCAGTGCCCTGACGGACTCCACCCACGAGGAGCCCATCTGCCAGCAATGCTACACCCTGCTTTTCTACACCCTGGCCAGCCAGGAGCCCATCATCCCGGCACCGCCGGTGTGCCTGCTGCGCGAGGCCCGTGCCAGCCCGCGACGCCGGCCTCTCATCCGCCCAGCCGCCAGCCAGCGCCCACCTGCCCCGCTGCCTGCTCGCCATCGGCGGTCTGCGGGCAAGCATCGCCCTGCCCATCGGCGTCGGTCCTTGGCTCCGGTCCTTCCCACTCGCCTGGCCCTGTTGCAAGCCATCCAGCAAAGCACCCGGCCACAAGCCCCGACCCCCGGCGACCCGACACTGGAGGAGCACCGAAAACGGCACCTGGCCCAGCTGGGCGCCACGCGTTCTTCGATCACCCAGCTCGGTGCTCGGCAAATCGAGGCCGAGTGGGAGTTTGGCCGTGTTTTCTGGCACTACGATCGGTACCGGCAGATTGGCGACATCCTGCACCAAATGGTGCGCCTCGTCGGGGCCATGGGCTGCACGGTGCACACGCCGCCGCCCCCCGCGGGCCCGACGGCCCCCGGGCCGGTCCCCCGGCCCATGCCCACCCTGCTGCCCGAGCTGCCGAGTCTGGACATCCTGCGTGCCGGTGGCAGCACCTTGCCCCTCACCTCGAAGCACATTGTGACCACTGCCACCCTGGCGACCGGTCGTTGCCGTAGCTGCAATCGGCCGGTTGCGGTCCAGCCGCAGGCCATGCGCACGGGCCCCGGGGCCCCGGCCCGTGGCTACCCCCTGCAGAGCACCCTCCGGCATCCGCTGGCCCTCGGCGGAGGCACACACCGGGCGGCCCCTGCGACGGCAAATATGCCAGCCATCCCGGGCTTGGCTCGGCCTCGCCCGGCTGGCTTGCTGAGCGCCCTCCCCCCAGCGCCCACCGGCCAGACGGATGTGGATGCCATCCAGCAGTACCTGCTGCTGATGAAGGATGCCGTGATCCTCGGCCAGCGGCGCTTTTCCACCTACGTCCAGGAGCTGGCCGAGTTCAGCATGAAGAATTCCTCCAGTCGAGCCTTCTGGTGGGTGCGCTGGTGGTGGCCCACCGGCCCGCGGCGCATCCTCAAGGGCGATGAACCCTTCGACACCTTCATCATCGAAGACCTGACACGCGTGGTCCGCGACTTGGAAACCTTCGAGCGCGATGCCATTCGCGGCATCAACCCGGCAGTCGACATTACCAAGCTCCACTACAAGGTGCGCGCTACCCCGCTCAAGACCCCTGCCTTGCCCCGCCACCTGCCTCTCTCCCTGTCTGGTGTTTGCTGACCTCGTGCCGGTGCCCGGTGAATGGATTTTGGGGGGCAGATCTTCAACATGCGCGAGCTGCTGATCGGCCTCATCTCGCTCTTTGCCCTGACCAATGCCACATGCATCGAGCGCACCTCCCTTTGGCGCAATCTCTGGCGTCTCTTCGTCAACAGTGCGCTCCTGGCAGGCCCCTCCTCGCTCCATCCCCTTTGGCGCACCCCTGCCCTCCTCTCACGGCTTGCCTGCCACCCGCCAACACCGCATGCGACTCACCCCTCCCCTGGCTCCTCGCCCGCTGACTCCTTCCATTTGCCGGCTGGTAGCATTCATTGTGTCCTCCTCTCAGAGCAAGCTCCGCCGGCAGGTGGTCACCTCGAGCAGCACCCTCTCCTCCACCGCCCATGCCGGCGTGGTTGGCGGCTTGTACACCTCCTCCCTGCCGGACCCCGGCCGCCTGCAAGACGCCAAGTATCTGGAGTCGCAGCGCATCCTCCGCGAAGCCGAGGCCATCAGCCACAGCCCTGGCCATCGTGCTCGATCGGCCTTCATGCGCCTGCGCCTGCGTACCTGGCAGCTGCATGACATAATTACGCGGTCGATCAATGTCCGTTTCGCCCTCAAGATCAGTGGCACCCTCACGTTGCTGGTGGTCCCGACCATTGTCGACTCTACGGCCACGGTTTGGTCCTACTGGTCGGTCCTGTGGTCGGCCATGACTGTGCGTGCTCATTCCATGCTCCCCCCCCCCCCCCCCCCCCTTCTTCCACCGCCGGTGTCCTGTGGCTACCCATCAGGCCGCTCCACACACGCCGCTTGCCTTGCCCTCCCTCACCAATGCCACCGGACACCGCCGCACACCCATGCGACACCCCTTTCCCCCTTCGTCGCCCCCTGTCCTGTAGGTTCTCCTCGTGTCGCAGCCCTCCTTCGGCGGGTTCTTCCCACATGCCTTGTACCGCATCATCGGCACGGTGGCCGCCGCCGCCTGGGCCATCATCATGGACGTGGCCTTCGGCCAGTCCTTCTGGGCCACGACCGGCATGCTGATCCCCCTCATTTTTGTCGGACAGTACATCCGCCTGTTGCCCTCCTCGGCATCCGGCCTCGGGGTGCAAATCATCGGTGCCGCCTTCCCCATCATCCTGGCCTTCTACAAGAGACCCTACAATCCGCCGGTCTACACCAACATCTATGAGATTGCCTACAAGCGCGGCGTGGCCCTCATCCTGGGTTTGATCATTGCCATCCTCATCCACCGGCTCATTTGGCCGTACCTGGCGCGCGTGGTCCTCGAGCGCAAGCTGGCCGCCGTCTTCGCCACGCAGGGGGTCATCTTTTCACGCCTGCAGTCAGCCATTACCACATTCAATCCGGCCCTCCTGGCGGAGAGGCATCTGCTGGCCAGCGACAAGTCGCGCGCGGCCAAGGCCGTCGGGCATGCGGCCGCCCACCAGCGAGACATCGCCGATGCCTCGACCGACGTCTTCAATGAGGTCCTCCGACATATGAGCTTCTCCAGCCCGCCGCGCCTGCCGCTGATGGACACGTCGGCCGTGGTGACGGCCGTAGCCGCACGTAGCCGTGCCGGCTCGCGCGCCGGCTCGCGGCCTTCATCCACCTCGGACATCGAGCTTGAGAGCCTGGGCCCCTGGGCCAGCAACACGGCCCAACGGTCAGATCCTCCCTCCCCGGCGTCGGACGCCGGGCCCGCTCCGCCGGGCCCCGGCTCCGGAGACAAGTCTCCGCCCGAACCGTCGAACGCCCTGCCCGCCCTCAAGGGCCACAGTCGCCTGGACCTGGAGAAGGGCAAGCAGCATGCGTCGCTCTTCGGGCACCCGCTGCGAGCGCTCGATGCCGCCGTCAAAAAGCGCGACCGACTGTATGTCCGCATCCAGGTAACCCTGCAACAGTGTCGGGCCCTGCACACGATCGCCCTCAATGAGCCCCGGTGGATGGGCAAGTGGGATGGCCCGCGGTACAACAGCCTCATCCTCGGGTGTGCCAGCCTGCTGGAGCAGATTTCCAGCCTCCGGGTGATTGCCCGCCGGGTGGAAGCCGCGCGCATCGCCTGCTCCGGGCAATTCCACCGATATGTCCGCCGGGTATTGACCCCGGGGCAGCTGGACACCCTCCGGGGGGATCCCCGCCTCGGGGCCTGGCTGGCTCGGCAGTATGTCCTCTTCGATCCCTTGAGCCCGGTGACCGCGGCCCTGGCCAGCCCGACCGGCCAGCGGGCCACCTCGTCCATCCTCCTCGGGTATCACATCCTGTCGATCACCGTTCGCGGGAAGTTGGCCCTGCCATACAACTTCCCGGACTGCCTCGGCTCCATCGACCAGCTGATCTGCCGGCTGCGCCAGGCCACCGAGGAGGTCCTGGCTCGCGACCGCCAAACCCGAGCCGAGTCTCGATGGGCTCCGGCGGCCGGCTTGATTCCACCCACCGGCTTTCCCTTCCCCCCGCCGAAGCTCCCGGCCTCCCTCTCCTCCTGCTCGCTGCTGTCCCTGCCGCCGAACTACAACAGCACCGGAGGCAGCGGCACCAGCCCGACCGGCGCCGATGAAGCTGGCAGCTCGCTCGGCAGCGGCGGCCACTCCCCCATCAGTTTGGAGTCCCTCCCGCGCAGCGCTCTCCCAACCATCGAGTCGGCCTATGCGCTGCTCTGCCCGCGCGACTTGGAGGAGCGTCTGATGCTCATTTTCGCCTTCACATTCACCATCCGGTCGATTGCCCTCAAAATGGCCGAAATGGAGGACATCCTGCGCGCTCTCTTCGGCACCACCCACGCCCCGTCCCGCTCGCTGTTGGACTAGACACACGCATCCCGGCGGCCGGGGGAGCTTGCCCAGCTGCCTCCCATCCTTCCCCCCCCCCCCCCCCCCTGACACTTAGATAGATGGCGCCTTAGCCACCACCCAATAGACCTTGCTCCCTTCCACCAGCATTCTCTTCTGTCCCTCGGCAAGGTGGCAACACGCCGCTCCACAGAGGCAGGCAGGTTGCCACGGCCTTCGGCGCAGAGGCGCATGATCGCCCTGGTAGCCCAGCAGGGGGCAGCGACCAGCCGGCACTCTGGGGGGGCATCCGACGTGCATGGCTGATCCGAAGCCAGTTGCCAGCATTGCAAAGAGGGTGCTGGGGCTGTGACGCCGAGCAAGTGCCTCCTTTGGTCCAGTGGCAGGGAGGAGGGATCGAAAACGCGCAAAAGAAGACGTACGCTGCCAAGGGAGGCGGCACGTCCGCGGGTGAGTCGCGATGGGGCCAGGACGCGCAGGGAGGGCCTTCGGCGGGTATGTGTGGGACTGGCACTTCAAACGGCATGACATCCTCCAGGCCCGGCAGGCAAGGGGCCCAAGTCCGGGCTCGACGCCGGCAGGAGCATGCGCGAAACATGGCGGCGGCCAGGGGAGGAGCAGGCCCAAGGCAAGTGACCACAGGGACACATGGACCCAGCCATGCCGCTGAGATCGCGATCAGCTGAACAGGACCCTTTGGCCAGCTGCTTTCGTGGAGGACAGCCGGCAGGCAGGTTCGAAGGGGAAGGGCGCCGAGGCGCGATGAGGAACCACGAGGCGGAGGGCGGACTCCAGGCAAGGCCCCCGCAGCGGGGAAAGACCACAAGCCCAGAGGCAGAGCCAGTCGAGGAGTGTCCAGGCAAGAAGGAACACCTGACCGAGAGGGAAGGCGGCCCGTCAACGAAGCGAGTCCAGCCAAAGAAGGGAGAGATCTAGCCAGGCATGGCCAGGGCGGCTACGCTTGGAGAGGGCACTGGCCAGTCGGCGGGCAAAGGCGAATCCAAGGCAGAACGGCTCGGGAGGAAGTGACAACTGCCCCTAGCCGACGCCGGTGCATCACCGATTGGCTCATCTGGCAGAAGGCTCCGACAGACTGAACACAGGAAAATGGCCGCCGCAGCCGGGTGGAGGCTCTCCAAGGGCCCTGGGAGTCATGCCCGAGAAGCGGATTGACGGGTGGCCCACAGGAAAAGGGCAGGGAGGGAGAACCCACGACCGAAAGGATGGCCACCATCGGTGGACGATCGAAAAAGCGGTCAGCCGGCATTCAATGAGGAGCCAAGGGGGAGAGGGAAGGAGAGGATTGAGGCAAACAAGGGGGGGGAAGAGGGGGAGGAGGGGAAACTGAGTGGCATGGAATGGCACGGGCTCGCGCGGATGTCCGCGAAAAAAGGTCAAGCCGCCAGCTCGACGTACGTGTCCTGCCTGTGGCGGACACGGACCGCCGAACTTACACCCGAAACCAGGAACACAGGGGGCAAGGTGAGACCATGCCCAGGGGTGAAAGGCGCGCCGGCACAAGGGTGCGAGATTTCGGGAGCGTCCATCAGGGCTATATATACATAAAAAGAATTTACCTTTGGTTAGGCTCTATTATAATGGGTTTTATCTTTTATTCTCACTCTAGTGACCATTAATGCTTATTTCAGGGACTTTGTTGCCATAAAGCTCCATGCTATATTATGAATATTTTGAAATAGATTATGGTGCAACTATAAAAGAAATATACTTTTTTGGAAATAAATCCACCGGTTCTTCTTTTCCAGATGGACTGTTTCTATGATTTCCCCTCGTGCCCCGTCCCTCGGATGCCCTGTGTCGGCGGTTTCTCGGCCAATCCATCTGGATGGCGTCGGCCACCGCTTGTTATTCTCCGAGTGCACCGGGCCAGCTTGCGTGGGCATCGAGTGTGTGTGTGTGTGTGTGGCAGCCGATTGTGACCCAGCCCCCCGTGGGCTGGGTCTTCTTCGGGGGGCGGTGTTCCCCGGCGCACTCACTAGGCCATATCCACCGCTGAAGTGCCCCGGCCGTCTGGCGGGAGCGCCGTGCCCGCCTCCACGTCTTCTTCTCCTTGTCCCCCGTCCCAAGAGAAAGGTCCTCGCCTCCCCTTCTGGGGTGGTGTGCCCTGCTTGCCTGGGGCATCTGGCTCCCCGTTAGACTCGCATGAGGTGGCTGTCATCGCCTTGACCAGGCCCCCAGGGCGTGGTCCAGCGTCTCCAGTCCCTCCGACCGCCCAGGCCGACTGTCCCGCATGCTCGCGCTCTCTCGCCCGATATGGCAAGGGAACTGGCCCGGCTCACGCCTGCTAGGATTGGCCCCTCGGCCATGTTGTGGGGGCAGACGAAAAAAACCTCACTCTCAACCTCACAGAGTTGGATGTCCCTTCGATCAACGAAGGCGTCTATTGGAACCCGCCACCAGACAAAGGCCACATTGCTGCGCGCTGTGGGTCACACACGCAGGCATATGGTGGGTGGGCCCAACGTCACGCGGCCGGCACCACAAATATGGTTCGATTATATCCCAACGGCCGGATCGGAGGCATCATTGGAGAAGTGGATCTCAAAGGCCGACAGCGTGACCTTGATCTCCTTCAGGAGGGCCAGCTTCTCGGCGATGCGCTTCGCGGTTGGCGGGGCTCGGTTAGCGTTCCAGGCGGCGGTCGAGAGGGTGGGAGGAAAACAAAGAGAAGGACCCTTTGCTGGGGGGGGGGGGGGGGGGGGGAGAAGAGCGCACCTCCTTGTAGGCGGCGTCCTTGCGCAGGAGCGAGGTGACCTCCTCGTTGATGCCAACCTGCGGACGAAGGTGAGTGGCGGGTCTTCCTGGCCGAGGGGCAGGGGCGGGCGGGCGCGGGAGGGCATGCAAAAGGCCCGGGGCGGGTTGACGTACGTCTGGCACAGACGAGCCGGTACGCTCCTCCGAGTAGAGCGTCTCGAGGAGAAGCTTGATCTGACCCATGGTCGCCTTGTAGAAGGTCATCAGCTGGCCGACCGCCTGAAGCAGTTGCTCATTGACCGGGAACTTCTCCGGCTAGAGCAGCCAAGGGCGAGGGGGCAAGGGAAGAGGACACCGGCGTGAGGAGGGAAATGGAGAAGGCAATGGTGAGGGGGGCGAATGTGGCGAGGGGCTGGAAGCGTACCGAGGCGCTGGAGGACGGCAGGACAAGGCCCTGCTGGCCGGTTTGGAGCATGATTGCCTGAACGGCGTGGAGAATTGAACCGATTTTTGCCTATGGTCACGGAGTGTGAGGAAATCCCCAGGGGCTAGGGCAGGCGGGGGGGGGCAATACGCAGCGCACATCAATCAGCGAGACAAGATCGGACGTCGGGAGGAGAGCAAGATCGCCGGGCAGCGGCGCGGGCTCGGTTGTGGACATGGCGGGGGGACAAATTCAAAAAAGGAAAAAAACCCAAAGACTGGAGTTGCGAAATGGGACGGGCGGAACGCAGCGGGCGGAGGGAGGGGGGGCAGTTGCGCGGCCGGCCCCCGGGCTGGCGGCTTGGCATGGGCCTTTAAATGCAGGACGCCGGGCCGCATCACATGACACGAAGGCTGTTAATTATACCCCACAACTTAAGGGCCGGCACCGGGCTCGCCGGGGGGGGGGTGGTGCAGCTCCTCCTCCGCCTCCATTGAGCCTCCCCCCCCCCCCCCCGCATCCGCCCGGAACCTCTCTTGACCCTTTTGCCTTTTTGCCTCCGCACCTTTTCCCTGTTCGCCCTTCGCACTACGCCGGCATCCTGGACACCTCCCCCGAAGATGGTACACCATCAAGCAGACGGGCCCCATTGGCCCATCCCTTGTCGAGGCCATGCCTTCGCTGACTCTGCCTCCGCCCCCGACTCCCTCACGGGCCAGACCCAATCCGACTCTTCTGCGGGCTCCAGCCGCTCGGATCTCGACATCGCGTCCGGCTCCGAGGAGGAGCTTGACCACCACCAAAATGACGCCCCCTCCAGTCCGGTCGAGCAGCATGCCCAGGCGCCCGCCAAGCTCTCGGCCGAGGAGGGCGACATGCTGCAGAGCCTCTTCGAATCCTTCGATGCAGATGGCGACGGCGTGCTCAATGCCACGGAGTTCGCCAGGGTACGTAGATGCCGGCCCGGGCACGCTGCACCATGCCCCTCACCCGGACCACTGACGGGCTTTCCCGGCATCACTCTCGCCCCAGCTGCTGGAGGGACTGCGGGAGGGGTCGAATCCGCCTCTCATCGAGCGCCAGACCACCAGGTGCTGGGATCATGTCAACCAGATGCTGTCGCAGCTGAGCCCCGAAGACGGCCACACGACCGCGGTCACCAAGCGCAACATCCAAATGTGTGTCGTTTGCGGCGCCCGCCCCCCCCCCCCCCCCCCCCCCAGGGCCACTCTTGCCCCTGCTCGCCCATGGCACTGACCCTTTTCCCGATGGCGCGCATGCGCGCCAGGATCCTCGAGGAACTGTATGACCAGGCATTCTTCGTGACGGAGCTCGGCCTGCCAGCCACCCGGTCGCGGACGCCATTGTCGCCGGAGCCGCGGTCGAGCGCCGGGTCTGGCCTCAAGTCCAACGTGCGTGCACGCGCGCGCGCGTCCGCTGCTCAATCCACCTCCGCGCCACCAAAGCCGGTCACCCCTCCTGCGGATGTTGCTGCCTGTGGGCGACTGACACACCGCCCCTAAAAATATGCCGCCCCACATTCTCCTCACGCCCCTTTGCCCCTTTGTCCATGGATCGCCTGCCGCGACCGAAGCCCGAGCTCTTCATGATGCGCACAAATGACGCCAAGAACCTGGCGCTCCTGTCGTCGGTGACGGCCACCTCGCCGCCGTCGAATGTCGGGCGCGCGTCGCGGCGTTACGGCGGCGAAACCGAGGCCCGGTCGGCCGGATCGCGCGGCGGCTTCGGGGCATCGGTCAACTCGGCGGCACGAGCCCAGGAGCGCAGCGATGTGTCCCCCGAGGAGCAGGCCGAGATCGAGAAGCGCCGGATGCTGGAGCGCGAGCAGCTGGCCCGGCGCCTGAACATGGCCATGAACTTCTCCAGTGCCAGCCGCCGGGCCGCGCCCAGGGGCACCGGCCCACAATCGTTCGCTCACGGGACGAACCCCGCGAACATTGGCCAGACCGAGAAAGTCAAGGTGACCGGCTTCGGCGTCGGTACGTCGATACTGGGGTGTCTGGGAGGCTTGCCCATGCTTGGGGACGGTGGGGGAGGAGAATCTGGCCTGCAGCCGGGCCGGCCCTCCGTCCGTGAAGGGGCTGCCAATGGGAGATCGTCCGAGGGAAGGGACATTGGCATGCGCACACACACACACACACATACACACATACATACATACACACACGGGTGGCTGAGCAATCCACTGTCTAACACATGCCCGTATCCAGTGTATCCCACTTCCTCGGCTGTGACATCCAATGCCTCGTCGGCGGGCGCCCGGCCAGGCACCGCGACCGAGGCGCTGCTGGCCAAGGAACGTCTCGATGCCCAGAAGAAGCAGGACAGCGAGCGCGAATTGGCACGCATTCTGGCCGAGAAGCACCGGTCCGAGAAGGCGGCCCGGGCCTGAGAGCGCCATTTCCCAACGCGCAGACGGCAAGGGCAGAGAAGACAGACAGGCGGCAGGGGGATGGAAAAAAGGAAAGAAAGAAAAGAAAGAGTAAAAAGACCAGATGAAAACCTCTCACAGGATGGTCCCCGCGCGTCTCGTGCCCGCCCCCCCCCCCCTCCCCCGCACTTGGCGCCCATGCGGGTTTCCTTTGACGACCAAAGGGACACCGCCGATGGCGTGCACTCGCGCAAGCGCATGCATGCGAATCACAAAGCGCCCGAATAAACAGCATGTCAACATGGTAGAGGATGTACGAGCAACAGGCGAAGGGGGAGAATCTAGTGTACAACCGCAGGGCGGGGCGCGCGCGCGCGTATGCGCGCGCGCGCGCAAGAGACCGGCGAACAAGGGAGGGCGAAACTGGGTGCATCCATGACGAGAGGCAGTGGTTCTTCAATCCCAAAGGTTCTTCAGGCGCTCCTTCTCCTTCTTGCGCATCTGGTCCTTGGACACGCGAGTCTCCATCTTCAGGCCACGCTCGACGGCCTTCTCGACCTTCGCCTGGTAGGCCTTGGTCTTCTTTTGCAGGAAGCGCTTCTTGATGGACGCCTTGCCGGCCTTCGACAGCAGGGGGTTGGCTGACCGGGAGCCCTGAGGCAGGGCCTTGTAGGTGGCCACACCAACCGTCTGGAAAGCGCCCTTGGTGGGGTTGATCAGGGTGATGCCCTCGGAGATGGGACCCAGATCCTCGGCTACCGCGAGGGAGTAAATGGGAGAGAGGTAGGAGAGAAGAGGGAGAGGGGGAGAGAAAGGTAGGAGGAGGAAAGAAAGGCAGGAGGGAGAGAGAGAGAGAGAGGTAAGGGAGAAGAGAGAAAAGAGAAACAGAAGCAGAAAGAAACAGAGGGACGGAGAGATGGAGGGGGAACAGAAGATCAGGACAATTGATGGGGGACAATCGGCGGCGACAGGAGACAAAAGAGCAAGCCCATCGACACGGGAGGAGCAAGGGAGGAACGAAGCATCAGGAGGAGGACGCACTCTCGCGCTTGGCGTTGTCCAGGGCGATCTTCGTCTCCTCGAGACGCTTCTGCGTCTTGCGGGAGCCACGGGCGGGGGTGACCTTCTGCTTAGCCATGACTGAGGGAGGCGGGGGCGGGAGAAGGGAAAGGGGGGGAAAGAGAAGGGGGGAGGGGGGGGGATGTACCGGACTGCGGCAGTGCGGAGGGCGGTCCTACCACCGGCTTTTCGGCCATCGCCCGGCAAGCCATCCGCCACGGTCTCACACTCGTGGCCTGGGCGGGGGGCGAGGATGCCTCGGGCGCCCGTGCGTCGCCGCCGCACACGCGGCACCGCCAGGGGCCAACATGTCCCACGCACCGGGTCGGCATACGTGTTGCTATTGGCCAGCACACCCGGGCGCGCGCACGCACCGGAGCCACCCGGCCCAGAGGGACCGAGGGCAAGGACGCATTGGCAGCCCCGGGGGTGGTCGAGGCGCCGCACCTCGAAGCTCTGTCCCGTGACATGGCGGTGCGGCCCGTGATGCCGGCATCCCAAACGCATGGTGCTGCCCCCGAACCGCTGGCGGGGTCCCCTAGGCCCCAGGCAGGCCGGCCCGACGGCCAGCGCGCAAGATCCAACACGCCCACGGAGGATTCCAGGTCAAAAACCACCACGCCTCCTGGCCCCGACGGCCCTCGGGGGCGGGAAGTCCCCTCCTCGCTACTCCGACCTCTCCCCTCCGCCTCCTCCCCCCTCCCCTCCCTCGTCACTGCCCTTGCCTCTTTAGGCTCGGCCCTTTCTCCCTCCCCTCACGCCCTCCCCGTGCCCTCTTCCACATCCGATTGGCAGCAAAGATGGCGGACTCTCTCGACGTGAACTTCGTCCTGTCGGACATCGAGTCCGACTCGGAGGACGTCAAGCCCGGCACCAAGCGCAAGCAGCGGTCCTCCAGCGGCAGCCGCCCAGCGGCGCCCGGCGCCCAGGCCGGGAAGCCGGCCCGCGCGGCCAAGCCCGCTGCCGTTGCCAAGAAGGGCCAGCCCCCGGCCAAGCGCCTGCGCTTCGACAAGGCCTCGGACCTGTCCACCAAGCCGGCGGCCGAACAGGCCGAGGGGGTCTGGCTTCGGCTGAAGGCCGAGCTTCAGCAGCAGTTCACCGACATGGAGCTCGGGGGCCTGAGCCTGCATGGTACGCGTGCCCTCTGGCCCGATCGGCGGCGCCCTGTGTCCACCCGCTTGAGAAGCCTCTCCCCCTCCTGACAAGCAACACGCCGGTCCTTTGCCCCGCCCGCACACCGGGCCATAGCCTCGCAGATCGCCGACACCAGTGCCTCCTTCGGGCTCCCGCGTGAGGACGCCAACCTGGTGCAGTTCATCAAGGAGGGTGCGTACGCCCCAGCCCCCGGGGCAGCCCCTTTCGCCCTGTCCCCTCCTGTTGCTCATTCGATGCGCCGCGTCCCCCCCCCCCCCTGCAGCCATCCCCACCTGGGACGTGGACCTTCGCCAGATGTCGGCCAAGGCGCGCAAGAAGCTCTCCAAGCACAAGTCCGACGGCCAGGACGGCGGGATGAAGGCCCTGCCGCGCGTCGTCATTGTGTGCTCCTCTGGCCAGCGCTGTGTCGATGTCATCCGGTGCGTCCCCGTCAAATGGGTCCCTCCTCCGTTGGTTGCATGCCGGTCTGCGCCGGTGCGCCCGCACTCACCTCCCTGCTGCTGCTGCTGCACATGCCCGCCTCGCGCCTCGGCGATCGAAGCCTGCTGGCCCCGTTCAAGGACATGTCGCCGATTGCCAAGCTCTTCTCCAAGCACTTCAAGGTGTCCGAGCAGGTGGACTTCCTCAACAAGAACGACTCCCGCATCTGCGTCGGCACGCCCAACCGCCTGGAGAAGCTGGCTTCCGAGGGTCCGTCCATGCCACGCATGCATACACACAGACACACCGATGCATTGCCATGTCTCCGCTCATGCGTTGTACCAACAAAACCTGCCCGCTCGGTCGATGGCCATGGCGCTCTGCCACGCACAGGCGCTCTGGATTTCTCCCGTGTCCAGGTGGTCATCTTCGACATGAAGGTCGATGCCACTGGCCGGTCGATTTTCGAAATTGCCGAGGTCCGCAAGGACCTGGCCTCCTTCTTCCGGACCACCCTGTCGAAGAACCTGATCGCCGACCAGACCCCCGCGGCCAAGGGGTCGGCCGCCACGTCGGCCCTGACCGATCTCCTGGGATCGGTGTTCGAGACGCCGGCCGGGACCGGGAATGCCAAGCTCGCGCTCTTCTGAGGTGGGTCTTCTGGCGATTTGTACTTTTCCCCCCCCCCCCCCCCCAGCTCGGCCCCCGGGCCGGCGTCACCGTGTACTCCCTCTCCTCTCCCGTTGCGCCGCGCGTTGGTCAAATATAGAAGCGAGCTGTGGCACTTTCTCCTGGCGTGGCTCTTGGGAGAACTCCATCGACAGCGGGCAAAGCAAGTTCCATGGGCCTAGGCATCGGAGGGGGGGGAGCCCCACCGGGCACAAGCATACACACACACACACACACATATGTGTTTATATATATGTGTGTGTGTGTGTGCATATAAATGCGTAGACACGCACACGTGCGGAGGGAGGGATGAAACTCATCTATTTGGCATGGAAACATGCTCTCTGTGTCCGCTGGCGTCGCCCACCCAAGAAGGGGGGCATAGCCAGGGGGTCGCGGCGCGGCGCGGCGTGAGGAGGTCCGCCTAGAGGAGATAGGGCAGGAGGAGACCGGCATTGCCTCCGGCGCACGCACGCACGCGCGCGCGCGCGCGCACACACACACCGCCCACGAGCCGGTGTGTAGAGCATGCTGATGTGGCACACGCGCGCCCGCGCGCGCCCCATTTGTGTCTGTGTGAGAGAGCGGCGCAAGCGACTTACTGGGTCTTGTACTTGGAGTCGAGAGAAAGCAGCCACTTCTCAACGTGAGCGGGGTTGTTGGAGTCGAAGGCCTCGACGGGGCCGGCGTTGGCGGCGGCAGCGGCGGCGGCGGCGGCAGCGGCAGCGGCGGCCTCAAGGGCCTTGGCGGCGGCCTCGTCGGCAGCCTGCTGCTCCTTCAGGACGTTCTGGTGGTGGTTGGAGTAGTACTGGTACTTGGTGTAACCGTAAAACAGACCGTAGGCGAAGGCGCCAAGGCGGACAACCTGCATCGGGGGGGG